TAAAATTAATAAAAAATAAATACCATATATGAGCATTAAAAAAAGATAGAAGAGATATTCCTGCATCGCAGACTCCTTCCAGTGCATGGTACAGTCCAGAGTGGAGTCACTAAAAGTACAGATACTAGAGTTAGACTGCTAGGTTCAGATCCTGCTTCGATCATGCAATATCTGTGTGACCCGGGTGTGTGGGGGGAACTTTCCCTCATCATGCCTCAGTTTCCCCTCAGTAAAATGAGAATGTTAATAATGATATCTATCTATGGGGTTGTTATGAAGACTACATGAGTTAATATTTTTAGAGTGCTTTTATTACTCCTTGATAATCTCTTTTTATTAAATTACAAGCGCTTGGTAATAAAACCTCAGCCATTCTTGTCACTATGTTCATTGTCCAGCTCAGTGGCCAGCAGGCCCTGGAGCCTCCGACACGAATGTGGAGGCGGTCATTCAAGAAGTTCTCACACCTGAGCAGGTGAGTTGGGGTCTCCCTGCTGGCTAGACGCGGGTGGCCCTGCCACTGGAGGTGCGCTCGCCCACTGCATAGACGCTCCCCCACAGCACTGACCTGAGCTCTCCATGGGAGACTGGGGGTGTGAGGAGGATGTGGCTGTCGTGGGCAGCAGAGTGAAAGCAGAGTGGTTGTTCCTGAGGCAGAGGCAGTTCTGCAAAATAAGAGGCAGTTAGTGCGGGTGGCCAGGCGGCGCAGAAAGTGCCTCTGGGGCCCAAATAAGCTCCTAGGGGACCGCGGGTTCTAGCACACCTGAGGGAAGTCTAAACTTGAGAAATATTTGAGCAGCACTGAAATGATAGGAAGCCTAGATTTATTTAAGAAATAAAAGGCTCTATGTGTCTGTGGGTTCACATATGGATTCAACCAACCACCAATGGAAAATAGTTGAAAAAATTTGCATCTGAACTGAGCACATACATGTTTTTCTTGTCTTTTTTTTCTGAGCAATATAACATAACAGCTATTTATACATTACATTTTACTAGGTATTGTAAGAAATCTAGAACGATATAAAATATAAGGGAAGATGTGCATAGGTTATATGCAAATACTACAAATTTTATATAGGGGACTTGAGCATCGTGGAAGACGCCCTGTAGGAGGACCTGGCACCACTCCCCTGAAGATATCAAGGAACAGTGACACTTAAGTAATACTTAAATGGTGCTTACTACATGACAGGGATTTTGTAAGCACTTAAAAATGTCAACTCTTTCACGCAAATTCTAAGCTAATGAGGTGGGTACTGCTTCCCGCCTGTTCTGTCATTGAGGAAACTGAAACACAGAGCTGTTAAATTATGATTTCCAAGGAGCCTGGAAGAAAAGGATCGTGGACTTAAACTCAGACCACTTGGCTCTAGAGCCCAAGCCCTGTAGCTTGACCACAGGCACCACGGTGACCCCACTGGAGGCACCCCCAGAGTCTGCTACCCTGGACAATCAGCCTGATCATGGAGAAGAGGAGTGCTGAACTGATACAAGGGCCTCGTCTTTCAAGAGAAAGCAGGCAACCAAGCACAGGCTTGGGAAGGCTGATGGAGAGAGAAGAAAGTGCCAATTTTGAGAAAGAAATCTTTTTTTTTTTTTTTTTTCTGGAACGGGGCATTGAACTCAGGCCCTTGCGTTTGCCAGGGAAGCACTTATTCCACTGAGCCATCTCCCCAGCCCCCAAAAGTCCCAATTTTAAGAATGATTAAGGTCATAGTTCAAACCACAGAACAGGGCCGGCCAAATAGCTCAGCGGATTAACGTGCTTGCAGGCACTGGCCGAGGCTTCGATCCCTGGGCTTGCCTTGCCGGCACCACCCCCAGGGCACACTGACACAGCAATTGAGACTGGGCATGGTGGTGTGCACCTGTAATCCCAGCATTTGGGAGGCTGTAAGTAGGAGAATCATTGTGAGTCTGATCTAGTAGTGAGACCCTGAATACCCTGTAGACCTTTCCCTAAAATACAGAAAAAAAAAAAAACCCAAAACAACAATAACAACAACAAAACCCCAAAGAATAGAGAAAATATCTGTTATTTGAACTGCTCCAAAACATAGAGAAGGTAAAATTCTAGGTTTTTTTTTTTTTTTTTTTTTTTTAAGTCAGCTTAATCTCAATCTCAATAGCTAATGAAAGTAGTTTTCAAAAGTAGATTGAGCACTTCACAATCATGGAATAATTTGTGTCCCCCCCAACCCCAAATATCCCAAGCAAACAAAAAACCACCCTCAAAAAGCCCACATTATTTATAATGGACAAAAACCAGAATAAACTTAAAAGCCCAATTATAAAGTGTCAATTAAATATTTCATAGTCATCTGTGCTTCTGAATTCTGTGAAGCCATAAAATGATGATGTTTACATATAAACAAAAACCAAAAAGGACCTGAAAGAAGGAGAGGGACTCAGGGAAAGAGCAGCAAAGGGGAGAGGGGTGAACAGAGGGCAAGAGAGGGTGGTAGGGTGGGTGGGTGTGTTTACAGCATAATATATGAAAATGTTAAATGAAATATGAATTAATATGTTTATTTATTTATTTATTTATTTTTTGCAGTACCAGAAATAGAACTTGAGTCCTTAAATTCACCAGGCAGGCACTTATGCCACTGAGCTATCTCCCTGGCCCCTACTTAATTGTTTTAAAATGTGATGTGCTTCTGTATTTACTAAATTCAAAAGACTTTCCAAAGTATTTATTTGTAAGCTGTAGATAACAAAACATCACCTTTCTCATACCAGTTTTTAAGAGCCTCTCTCTCTCTCTCTCTGTCTCTCTCTCTCTCTCTCTCTCTCTCTCCCTCTCTCTCTCTCTTTGTGGTACCAGGGATTGAACTCAGGACCTTGTGCTTTCTAGGAAAGCACTTACTCTACTGAGCTGTCTCCCGTAAGAGCATATTTCTAAGTTTGCATGTATGCAATGGAAAATTTCAGGGAAAGCAAACAGCAAAACATGATACAGGAGGTTGTGGTCCTGGAAAAGACACAGTGTGTCCCCTCTAGAACTCTCCCACTGGACACAGCTGAAGAGTCCAGGCAGTATACCTGGAGCAGCTCCAGGAGGACTCTGGAAAGTAGAGGGTAGCAGGAAGAATGTGGAAGGAAGCCAGAACCCAAAGTAAGAGCCACCTGACGATGGGTTCTGTGGGCCTCGCCTCGCTATTCTACCCTGTGTGGACAGAGACAGCGGAGGAACTTCCTTGTTGGCAAAAGCAGGGACCAGGGTTAGATCCTGGGTCTGTCATGCCGTGCTGGTCCCGCACCCCGGGCGCACTGAGCTGGAGACTGAGTCTGGGCTTGGTGGCTCATCCCTCTAATCTCATTGCTGGGGAGGCTGAAGACAGGAGGATCACTACAAGTCAGAGCTGCATAGTGAGACCCTGTACCAATACATAAATGAAAAAAAAAATATATATGCAATCAAGTCTAGCAATATAAAAAAAAAGACTAACACACAATAACTTGATGTTTTTTCTTTTTTAGGGCTCCAATACTGGTCCAATATTTGAAAGTCAATCTACGGTCCTATAGATTAAAAACAATATATCCCAGCATGCCGTGCCAGCCCCGCCCCTGGGGAATCACTGACAAGGTGATTGAGACTGGGTGTGGTAGTGTGGGCCTATAATTCCAGTATTTGGGAGGCTGAAACAGGAGAATCACCATGAGACAGATCTACATAGTAAGACCCTGTAGACCCTGTACTAAATGCATAAAAAAAAAATCAATTGATGTAGTATAAACTTTTGACAATTTCAACACTTATTTTTAAAAAGTTTCATTTATTTATTTGATACATGGCCTCACTAAGCAGTTTGGACTTGAAGTGATCCTCCTGCCTCAGCCTCCAGAGCCCTGGGAGTACAGGTATGTGCCACCATGCCCGGTTTGGGCCAGCCCTGTGTGCCACTATATGCGGTACTGAAGGATCGAACTCAGATCCTTGAGCTTGCCAGACAGGCACTTAAACCACTGAGCTGTCTGCCTAGCTTCAACACTTATTAACCGTAAAAATTTACAGAAAATTAGGAATATAAGGGAACTTTATCAACCTGATGAAAGATATTTATAAAAGTAAAACCATAACTAGCATAGTTATAATGAAAGACTATTTCTCTTTAGGAAGAAGCAAGGGTGTCCACTCTCACCACTCCTTTTTTTTTTTTTTTTTTTTGCTGAACCAGGGATTGAACTCAGGCCCTTGTGCTTGCTGGGGAAGCACTTATTCTACTGAGCCATCTCCCTGGCCCCTCTCACCACTCCTATTCAACATAAGATTTGAAATCCTTCTCAGTGCAATAGGAAAAAAAGAGGAAGATGTGTGTGGGGTGGGGGGAGAAGCAGAAGGAGGAGGAGAGGAAGAAGGAGGAGGAGAAGGAAGAGGAATATTGAAAAGGAAGGAATGAAACTATTTGCAAGTCATATAACCCTATTTGCAAGTGATATGGCTATACAGATAACCTAGAATGAACAAGATGAATAGGAAATATAAACAAAATGACTACACAAATCTAGAGCTAGTGACTGTAGCAAGATGACAAGGAACAAAGCCAATATACAGCATCAACAGTGTTTCCACATACTAATGGCAAATAATTGGAAGCCAAATTTAAAACAGAATAGCATTTACAGTAACTCCAAAAGGAAAAACAAATAAAAATGCTAAAGGTATAAATCTAACAAAACCTGTATAGGATCTGCGTGATGTGGACTATAAAATGCTGAAGAAATAAATCAAAGAAGAACTACAGAGATGGGGAGACATACTACGTTTATAGTTGGAAGGACCAGTATGGTAAAGATGTCAATTCTCTCCAAAGTGATTTAGAGAATCATATGAGTCCAATTAAAATATCAGCGGGATTTACTTTGGTAGGTACACATAAGTAGATTAGATTTGCAAACTATCAACCATGAGCTGATTCTAAAATTTATAGGACAAGGCAAAGGAAACTGAGTAGTTAGTTATAAAAAGGGCTGTTAGAGGGCTCACATGCCTTACTTTAACACTAGTGAGGGCTGGGGAGATAGCTTGGCAGTCTAAGCACCAGCCTGGCAAGCACAAAGGACCTGGATTTGATCCCCGGTACCACCTGCCCTGTGCCAAGAAAGCAGTAGTAGTGAAAAGACAGAGTCATGGATCAGATCGGATTTCCTTAGTTTTACTTTTATTTATTTGTGTGTGTGTCTTATCTTTTAATGATGCATACTAAACTACAGCAGTAACAAAAAAGTGGCATTGGTTACTTATAAACTGTAGGATTACAGGTAATTTAAAAAAATTTAATACCTTTCTACATATTTTGATTTCTTTTTTATTAATTAATATTAAGTACATCTGACTCTATCTACACCACACAGTGGATAGCACACATGAAAGAAGAGAGATAACATATATCTGAGTTATGAGCTATAGTGAAAATGAGCCCCACAAACCTACCCACACAATTTAAAAACACTGACCTTGCATTGCGCTATGTAACTTAAAATCTGAATGAAAATCAAATCTTTAAAAATAGTCGCTCCATATCCCACCAACCCCAGGCCCTGTGAGTGTTGGGGAGACCTTCTGCTCTGTCCTGTGACCACCTGCCACTCCAAGCCCAGGCCCATCACATAAGAGGACTTTGCTCTTGTTATCTGGACCTCTGCCCCCTGGCCA